CATTTTTGTATTTCTTATTCATAATTATATATCATACCAAGACATTCATAACTAATTTTAGTGCGTTGTGCTTTACTATTTTTGTTTATGGATTATTTGTTTATTAATTGTAGGCATTTGACTTGGTATGATATGCAATTGCATACTAAAGCTAAAAATAATATAATTGACTAGTTATAATTTTTTTGAATATAATTTTCTTAGATAGTCTTGTTTTAAATATGTCAAGGAAAAGGGAAAATATGAAAAAATATAATTCGTACGAAGAAACATTTTGATGAAAATGTCACATTAAATGACACACAATCACTTGAAATTTTTTTCATAACCAATTATTTCCTTTATATATTAGATTAAGCAATTTGATTACTTGAACGAAGACTCGATCAATTCAATTCATATGAAAAAAAATGTGGATTTTTATTTTCTTTTGACAAGTTAAAATACATTGGATGATGTTGATTTGAAAATATGTTGTGATCATCTTGACATTGTTTCAAAACATGTAATTTTTTGCGATCTTGATGGCAAATATTCGCTTCAAGAGTTAAAAATTTTGCAAAATCTTTTAACGAAAGAAATAAAGATAGTTTTTGATATACTGGTTTATTTGAAAAGATTCGATCGCTTTCGAATTTTGCAAAATCTTTTAACGAAAGAAATAAAGATAGTTTTTGATATACTGGTTTATTTGAAAAGATTCGATCGCTTTCGAATACATTTATTGTTTATAGAGTATTACTGTCAACCATGTTATAAGAATGATTGAATTACTTAGTTTTGAATCTTTTGATATCTATTGAACAAGATTTATTAGAAACGAAAGTTTAATTAGTGAGCTTGATTCTAGAAATCCAGAAGAAATATTTTTACATAATTTGTTGCATTTCAAAGTTTAGACGTGTTATTTGATATGCTAAATATGAATTTTCATTTATTTTTTTGAGTAATAGATTCGATCGCTTTCGAATTTTGCAAAATCTTTTAACGAAAGAAATAAAGATAGTTTTTGATATACTGGTTTATTTGAAAAGATTCGATCGCTTTCGAAT